AGAAACGTTAGAGGAAATTATAAGAAAGAAGTTGTGTACAAAAAGCAAAAATAGCTTTATTTCTATCCATAATCGGTTCAATCGTCTACAGTTATCAACGTAGCTAGAGATTGTACCACGTGTCCTAGAAGTTAATATCTATTCAGCTGTAAATAAAAAAGGGAAACTGGAGTATATAGCTACAAAATAAACAATAATTAAGTATCTAACCAAAAAAAAAGTACCTCCATTATTTTTATAATATATACTATATTACCCCTACTCTCCGGTTAACGAAAAAAAAAAAAAATATTCTTCTTCTTTTACCAACTACCACCATTTTTCCTCTGATCTCCACCACTTTGCTTCCATCACCATTACAATACGATCAATACCAATTTCATAGCCAGTATAACCACTTCTATATCTATAATCTCTGCTTCTGATATCTACAGACTACGATGGCGTTATGGTTAAGACGTCTTCGTTGTCATGTAAAGTCTCAGTTGTGCTATGTTATTTGAATAATATATACTATACTATTTCGTTTGTTATACTATTATATTGTAATAATGATTTATCTTATGTACTGTGTGCATATTTTGATATTTGATTAGGGTTTATAGTTATTTTTAGTTTTTAGTGATTAATGTTTTGTGTTTAGTTTATGAATGATTTGGATTGATTTTGGGGTAAACATTTTTTCTTTCTCTGTAATCATATACATTTCAAAATTTGAACATTAATATGTACTATACTATTTCATTTATTACTATTCTATTTTGATAATGATTTATATTATGTACTATGTACATATTTGATATTTGGGTTAGGGTTTATATTTGCTTTAGGGTTTAATGATTAGCGTTTTGGGTTTATATTTCTTTTTAGGGTTTAGTAATTAGTGTTTTGGGTTTATATTTATTTTTAAGGTTTAATGATTAGTGTTTTGGGTTTATATTTCTTTTTAGGGTTTAGTGAATAATGTTTTGAGTTTATATTTATTTTTAGGGTTTAGTGACTAATGTTTTGAGATTAGTTTATGGAAGGTTTGGATTGACTTTGGGGTAAGCAACGCCTCATTCCTTGCAATTATATACATTTCAAATTTGAACATTAATATGTACTATGCTATTTCGTTTATTACTATTCTATTTTGATAATGTTTTATATTATGAACTATACCATTTAGAATGTACTATTCTATTTACACTGTTTATCTTCTTCAACAACCTTATTTTTTTCTCCGATCCTTGCAGTCAAAGCATAACCAATATCATAGTTGTAGTAATCTTTATTTGAAAGATGATTGTTATTTTTTATTGACGACCTCTATTTCATCCGTAATTTTTTTTCCATAGTCACCATCTTCATAATTACCGTCGTTGAGATAACTAATATCACTTTTCCGATAATCACTACTGCCACAATATTCACCGCAAGTATTGATCATAATTTTTTTTTCAATTACTGGCAACTGGCATAAAAGAAGGACCAAATCGGGAAAATATTGCACAAATGCTATGGGATCTAATAACGTCAAAATCAATGCTATCTTCTTAATTTGTTGGTGAAATATAGCTAGTTGGCAAATAAGCCCTCCCGATGTGAATGTTGAACTGAAACAAAAGCAATAAAAAAAAACCAACTTCACCATCTTTACCATAACTTACGCATTGTGTGTGAATTAGAACAGAAGAAAAACATTCGTTTTCAACGCGTTTTTAGTAATGCTAAATATTCAACACATTTTTCATTAGTATATTATAAAATCCATTTTCATTATCATATTATAAAATCTATTTTAAATTTTGAAATAAGTCCCGTAGACCCGACCCTTATTTTTCTTTTCTTCGGCAAAAAGTTTCTTTTTACCCTTTTTCCTTTTCTCAACTAACAACATTATTGAAACTTTGAAATATAAGCAATCTTATAAAGTAAAAGCAACAGAAGTTCTAAAGTAAATGTATCCTGTGGTTTGGCTGCACTTTTTTTTTTTGTGTTTCAAAAAAAAAAAAAACGAAAGGGAAACATAAAATAATAATATAATGACCAAATAAAAAGAATCTGACTGAATTTATTGTCATGGAAGTTATTCAAATAAGTTTCTCTTATTCTTCTAATGGGTACTTAACTACTTATAAAACTTCATATCAAGATAAAATCATGCATTAGTTAAGTATATTAATTGTATAAGATGCATAATATTATGATTTATAAAAATGACTAAACAATCCCCAAACTTTTCTAAAAATATTAAGTTATTTGAAAATTTACTCGTAATTAATAACTATTTGAATCACTAACCTTTTATATGCAACTATTTTATTGTGTGCACCAACTAAAAGACACAACTATTGCAATTAAAATTTATTATATGCAACTAAAAGAAACAAATATTGCGATAGAAATTGAGATATCAGCCAAAAAAGACTGAACTTTGCAGAAATCACCAAAAAAAACACAGCTTATTTCACTAACCAAAAAAATGCTGAATGATATTTGACTTGCCAATAACCTCGTATGTTTTGTGTTGACTTGCCATTATGAACCCACCGTTAGTTTAGTTAACGGATTATTACACAGGTGTTAACTATATGTTTATTGTGGCTGTTAAGTTATACAACGTCGTTTTGATTCTTAAGAGCACTGATTAAATTTTTTTTTTAAAAATGTGGATCCTGCGCTGATCGAAACCGGGAACTGATGCTTATAAGATGAGTGTTTTGCCACAGAACCAGTGGCTTCGTCAATGTTTAACCCAACCGAATACATTATATTGCTTAACAGTTTACCATTCCGAACAAAAAAGAAACGACGCGGCTTAAGTCATCATCCTCATATCTCGCAAGCTAACCCTAATTTCACAAAAAAACCCAAATCGATTTGGGGGTTTATTTTCTCTCAGATCAAACGCGATGATTCTTTCTGTTATCCATCTCCTCTGTTAACTAATCTCTGTTAAAAAAACTATGTTTTCTCTCAGATCGCACTTGATTAACTCATCTCTGTTAAAAAACTATGTTTCTGTTATCCATCTCCTCTATTATCTCTTTTTAAGTCCTTTAAGGAACTAAATGTATGTGTTTGTTACAATTGCTACTCCTTTTGTTTATGGTTAATGGTTAGAGATCTTTTGTTTATGAGGATGATGACTTAAGCGGCGGCGTTTCTTTTTTGTTCGGAATGGTAAACTGTTAAGCAATATAATGTATTCGGTTGGGTTAAACAATGACAAAGCCACTGGTACAGTGGCATAACACTCCCCTTATAAGCATCAGTTCTCAGGTTCGATCAGCGCATGATCCATATTTTTTTCAAAAAATTTTAATCAGTGCTCTTAAGAATCAAAACGATGTTGTATAAGTTAACAGCCACAGTAAACGGCATAGTTAACACCGGTTTAATAATCCGTCAACTCAACTAACAGTGGGTTCGTAATGGCAAGTCAACAAAAAACATACGAGTTTATTGGCAAGTCAAATATCATTCAGCATTTTTTTGGTCAGCGAAATAAACTGTGCTTTTTTTGGCGATTCCTACAAAGTTCAGTCTTTTTTTGACCGAATTCTCGATAGAAATTTGTTATATGCAACTAAAAGACAACTATTGCAGTCGGCAATCAGGTGGTGGGCTCAAAAAAAAAAAAAAAACAACTATTGCAATAGGAATTTGATATATGCAACTAAATGGCACAATTGTTGTAACAGTATTTGTTAAATGCATTCAAGACACACAATCAGTAACTGGTCTTGACACCTATGAAGATGTTTGGATTCAAATGGTACTTTATCGTTACCAAACAAAAGAACTTATAGAATTAGACCAAGAAGACCGATTATATAAAAAACTGAAAAAGTCAATGGAGGAAGAGCTGAACAAGAACATCCCTACTTCAAATTAAGCAACCCTCTTCTCCTAAGCAATTCTCTAAGCAACCTCTGTTAATGGTACTCTTAAACTATAAATCCATTTTCAAAGCTAAAATAATTCTGGTGGACCCGTAAGTTATTTTCTTTTTCGTCAACAATATAAATTTCTTTTTTGCCTTTCTTCTTTTTGAACTAACAACATTATTGAAATCTTTAAATATAAGCAATCTTATAAAGCAACAGTAGTTCTAAAAAGGTAAATTTCATCATTGAACAATTATTTAAAATATTTGGAAAATAGATTACCAGAAAATTATGCGAGGATGAAGGTAAGAGCACCAATAATATGGTGGAATCTTTCACCGGGGTTTGAACCAAAAACATAATCTACGATTTGGGCATTACTTCTGCTTTTCTCTCAGAAGCAAATACAAAAATGAAAGTAAGAATGCTTCTTAGCTTACAAAACAAAAAGTAAGAATGCTTCTCTACATGAAAAGTTAAACTAAACAGTCTAAACTACGCAGGTGTGGTGGAGTAGCATGGCCGGTTCGGAAAGGTGCTAAACGTCCTAGGATCGAAATCTAATTCCCACGACTAGCAGCCTGACTAGCATGTTGTCAGTGGACCGGCCCCAGAGAATTAGTCGGATCTTTGAGTTTGGATACCCATGTTTATAAAAATGCAGTGATCAAAGAAAATAATTTGACTGAATTTATTGTCAAGAAAGTGATTCATTAAGTTTTTTCTAATTCAAACGGGTCTTTAGTTACCTATAAAAACTTGTCAAGACAGAATCATGCACAAATGGAGTACATTGTATAGTTCATGCATAATATTGGAGTTATAAAAATGACAAAACAAAATATCAAATTGATTATGAATTTACTAGTAAATAATTATTATGATCAACTTATATTGTAAATAAGTATATCTGTATAGATATGGAAGAGTCATATGATGTAATATTTTATAGAGAATTGCATGCTGTTCTTGGTATGTAGATATTTGAATCAAATAAATAACTTTTAAGGTTTAGAAATTGACTAATTTAATATATAAGTCTAGAATAAAATCACCAAAACCAAAACCAAAAGACATTTTGGCTGTAGACAAACCAACCGAAACAGATTTTACGAGACAGATCGCGGTGATGGTCTTCTTAATTATCACATAAATAATCGAATACAATAAGGTAAGAAATATAAAAATAAAAACAAAACATATAAAAGAGAGATAGTAGAACAATGTTCTTTTGTTATAATTTAAAATAATCTATAGATGTGTATAAAGAAAACATATTTATTAGCTTTTGATTTCTCAAGAAAGGAGCTTTTGTGAAGGAGACGACTCGATGCTGCCTAGTATGTCCACTTTGTCTTCCTTAGCTTTTCCCCACAATACCATGTAAAAGCCTAGTGCTATCAATATACCTCCTATCAAACTGTGTAACATAACAAGAAAATGGAGATATGATACTAGCTAGCATATGCATAATTAATGTGATTAAAAACCTAACCAAAGACAATAGAAGCAAAAGTTATGTGTTGTACATTCCAAGGTAGATCGTCTCGCCGAGGAAAATGGTCGTTGATGCAGCTGCGATTAATATAGATAACGGTTTGAACATCGACAAATACACTGGCCCTTTGTGACTCACCGCCCATGCATGTATAATATAGTATGCCGAATTCAAAGCACCCTATGGTAAATATATATATCCCGTATATCATCGTCAAGACCAATAACAACAAGTAAATTAAGAACATGTACGGCCAAATATATTACACATATTTATGTAAAAGTTACCGTTGCAACAAGGCTGATCAAGGTTACGTCAAATCTTATGATCCATGCCTTCGGGTCGTCCTTCTCGACCAGAAGACTAACGAATGCACACACAATGAGAATGCAAACATTGTGTACCAGCGTTACAACGACCGTAGATGGATAGCGACTCATTGTGTGTGCCTATAAATACCCGAGTTGTCATTTAATATTGTAGTTTGCATTTTGAACTGCGCAAATATAAGATGTAATGTACGTACCATAACAAGATAAGAGAAGGAGAGAAGGATGTATTGAAGAGCAAGAAGGCCACCTCCAATAACCCAATCGGAGTGTGAAGACATAAGCACTGGACCATGGTACAGAGTAACCACAAGTGCGCCTACTATAGACAATAATGTCCCCATCACTTTGGCTACACTACTCTCTTTTCTTATAGATATTTTCTCCATGCTAAACCAAATAGTCCAAGTTAGTACAGACACTACTTATCTATCCTTTTATTTTTGTTCTACTATATGGAAAAATGAGTGTGTGAAGGTTAATGTGGACCCAAAAAAAGAAGGTTATTAAACAGTAAATGGTTCACGAGGAAAAAAACGCGGGCATAGCTATTTCCTCGTAAAGGGTTTTCCTCGTAAAGCCCTAGTAGAGCCATTACGAGGACCTTACGAGGAAATAAAAACGCGGGCATAGCTATTTCCTCGTAAGGTCCTAGTAATGTTACTAGGGCTTTACGAGGAAACAAAATTCTTTATATATACGCGAGCAATCCGGTTTCTCATT